TCATAAAAATTACTCTTTTTATATTAGATAATATCTTCAATATATAAAATAATATAATCTGTAATAAACTCTGCATACTTTATGCAAAGTTCAGTAGGATATATATGATGAGTAAATGAAAGTCATTTACTAAAAATAATTTAAAAGAATTTAAGAAAAATAAAGCAAAATCAATTAAACTTTGAAAATAGATACAGATTCTCATTACCAACTGATCAATTGAATTTAAAAGAATCTTCTCATCACTATCCATTACAAAATATAGTTTTTCTAAATTGTATAGTTGATACTATCACGTGATTCTAATAATTCATAAATATGATATCTTGAATGATCTCTCAATAAAAATATATAAAATACTTCACAAGTCATATATGAAAAATCTATACTAGTTATCAAATAAAAAAAATGCTATGTAACAGATAGTAAATATAATAAGTTAAGTATGTTAATTGTGATCAATTTGTTATAAATTCTAAACTATACTTACAGGTGAAGTATAAAGAATTGGCTCTAATGATAAGTAAGATAGTTTATTATAAAACTATGAAATTTGGCAAGATATTATAGGAATTATCTTTAAATGCTATTGAAGCAAAAGTGATTTTGTTGAAGAATTTGGAGAGTCTACCATATTCAAACTTCATTGAAGAATTATCATATATAATTACTGTGTTAGATATATTTCTTGATACATTATTACAAGTGTCTGAAAGTAAAGACTTTTATATAAAAATTTATAATACAGTTCATTTGAAAAGTGGCAAAATTCTGAGAACATCTGGAAATTTTCATGATAAAGAGTGATTTAGTAACATTATAGTAACTTCAGCTAAAGACCAAAGTTATTATAAATCAGATAAAGATGCTTAATATGGAAAGATAAATACAACTTGAAGAATAGTAAAATGTAATTTCAAATTTAGTAATTTTGAATGAATTAATCTTTGCATTTTCTTTTAAAAGATACTGCTCTTTTTATAATTTTTTTAAGAATCAACAAAGGACCTATATAATCTTGCTATAGTTTATTGGTATAATATTATGCTAAATGAATCAGAAAAGTATGATTGTTCTCATTTATACTATACCAAAGAGTATAATATAATTCTAATAGAATTTATAGATCAAGAGATACATATTATGCTGAGATTTGACAAAAAAAATCTTTTTTTATTAAATAAATATATATTTTAAAAAACTAATAGGCAAAGAATTTTAAAATTAAATTTGCACCTGTAGTAAACTTCAAAGAAAAAAAATAAATAATAATATATATAATTGATCTATTTATCATTTATCTATTTAATTTCTGTCCAAAGAACTGTAATGATCTGTAATTATGCTAATTATTATAGTTTCTTCAGATTACACTTTTCTAAAATTTCTATTTTCAGAATTCTGTGCAGATTTTGAATTAGTATAATCAAAAAATTAGCAATAATTAGCATATTTACTGATTATTACTAATCTAATATCTATCAAATTTACTGATGACAAGAGAAAAGAGAAATTCTACTAAGAAAACTATCTATAGCTAAAATAACTCAAATATACCATGTGACTTTTCTTAGTATAATTGGGTGATTGTGGCACAGTATGTGATGCAGCAACAATCTGTAAAATAAAAGATAAATCTAATATAATTATTAATAATTAATCTAATTTTGTTACATTTTAGTATTTTAAATATTTTAATAACTTAATAATATAAATTATTTACAAATTAGATTTAAATTACTTTTAATATATACTTTTTAATACAAAATTTTCAAATTTTAAACTTTATTAAAATGTTATTTGAAAATAAATAATATTAAAGAAGTTTCTTTTTCTGTTGCTTTATTATTTTCTGCTTTTTCACAAGATCTTGACAATAAAAATCTTTACTATAGTTTAAAAATTAATATGTTATTATTTATTAAAGATATCAAACAAACCTATCAAATATTCTATAGATATATATTTTAGTCTAATACATATAATTTTATATTTACAATATATAATATATGTACCGATCCAAGAAAAAAATCTCATTTCCAAGGTAGTCAAGCCCAAATTGAAAAGACTTCACAAAGATATTATCTTACAATAACTGTTGCCAGTTTATCAAAGATAAATATTAGTCATTTGCTTTGTAAGTTGAAGAACTTGATTGTATTATTTGTGTTTAATTAAATATTAATTATTTATACTTTCAAACAGGATCTGACAAGAAACAACCTTGCAAGAATCTGCAGAAGCTTCAAGTGTGAGCAGTCTGAAGCATTTGATCAAACCAAAAGTGTTCTGTGTCAAGATAGACTAGATATTTACTTGAATGTGTTTGTGATTTTCAGGTTGATGTTTGTAACTGTATCCAAAATTTTATGTAATTTATATAGAATGGTTAAGCAAAGATGCTTATGGAATATAATTGAATGCATCTGTAAGTTTCGGGGTTGTGCGCATAATTATATCTGGAATTTTATGTAAGTTACATAGAATAGTTAAGCAATGATACGAGATGCTTATGGAATATAATAGAATGTGTCTGCGATTTTCAGGATTGTATGCGTAACTGTATCTGGAATTCTATGTAATTATATAGAATGGGTAAGCAATTTTAAGAGATGCTCACGGAATGTATAAGATATGTACAGTATCTGCTTTTTTTCCGTAAGTTATACGTTATTGTGTTTGGAAATCATATGGAACCTTAAATTCCGTATGCTAGTTCTGTACGAATTTGCACGGGATTCACGACCACTTGCATACGGGATTATTCATGACACATAGCTGAGAAATTGCTTACACTTCACGTAAAATTCCTGATACATATTTCTCGTGGTGAAAGAAATCAATTTTTTTCTATAAAACTTCTTTTATACACGTGTTCTGAGAAGTTATTGTTATATAGAAAATCTATATAAAACTTTACATATTTGTTTACATACAGAATTTGATTGTGCCAGAGAAAATTCGATTTTACTTTTGAATCCTCTAAAGTCCACCTTATTTCTGACGTTTATACTCAGCCACCGACTGCTTACAATAAACTCCCGCTATAGTCAGGCATTTTATGTGACTATTACGAGATTATGAATAATGTAACGTTCAAAATTCCGACAAACGAAAGCATTTGGATGCTATTATTTCGGTATGTCATTAATTCGAGATTCGTTTATTCGGGATGTCGTTCGTTCAGGATTTCGTTTGTCGGAATTTTGAACGTTGTCATTTTTCGTAATAGTCACATAAAATGTCTGACTATAGCGGGAGTTTATTGTATGACTCCTGATTCTAGTAGTCGGTGGCTGAGTATAAACGTCAGAAATAGGGTGAATTTTAGAGGATTCAAAAAGTAAAATCGAATTTTCTCGGGCACAATCAAATTCTGTATGCAAACAAATATGTAAAGTTTTATATAGATTTCCTATATAACAATTACTTCTTTGAACACGTGTATGAAAGAAGTTTTATACATGTAGAAAAAATTGATTTCTTTATATATCAATGCAAAAAAACAATAAGCTCGCTCATGCATATAAACTGTGCATCATGCATAAACTCTAAAGTCATTGACAAATTACTAAATGAATTCTATACATGGGGTCATTATTCAACTAGTTAAATCTGGTATGCAATGTTTAAATTTATAATTTGGCGAACGGCTTTTATTCCATATCGTTGTTTGCAGATACGTGATACGAAATGCGTGGAATTAGCTATTCAAAAAACCTATTTTTCCCTAAAATAATTAATATTATTGCCTGCAAGTCAATTCCAATTTTCATTTTCACCTGAAAAAACGCATTCAATGATGTAAACTATATAAAGACATTAGTATGTTAAAAGGGCGCGTAATTGATGACATGAATTTTTTCTCTATAAAGGGTGAAACTCAAATATTACTTTACGTTCAAAAGAAATTTTTTTATAAATGCTTTTAAGTAGTTTAGTTCTTTCTTTTAATTTTTTAAAGTTTTTTACTGATTTTTTTTGCATTGTTTTTAATGATTCTTAGAAATTAACGATACGCTCACATACCTGCAAAATGGGAGTATTTCTTTGTTAAATTTACAATGCACATATTTTATAATGCTGGTTTTGATACAATTTTAGGTGTATAAAGAAGGCACACTCGTCTTGGTTTTTATTCTCTCATTTCAACTACTTTTGGCAGTTGTGGCCGACTCCACTGGCTCAATTAAGCTAAACTTCCTGACCCATGATACAGAACCTGTTCGCTTTATCTGATATTATCACGGTTGAGGTTTCCAAAACGGATAATTTCAACATTCTCAAAAATAAAACCAAAGAAAAGTCAGTTTTGCATCGAAAAATTTATCAAGAAGGAATCTTTATATTCAGGAAAGATCCTCATCATCATCCTCAAAGAAATAAGGATTTAATCAAGACCTACAATAATAACGGGTGGACAACTCATGGAAGATAGTGAATGATCTAACAGAATTGATCGTTAATTATCTCCCCAGATCTCTTCGCACTTTATGGATCATTCGAGAGTTGAATGGTAAAACTTGTCAGACATGTAATTTTTTTAAATCCCGTTTTTGATCGTAGTAATAGCGATTGTTCATGTCACGAGTATTCGATCTTTCACACGTGCAAATTTCTTTAGCGTTAAGCATTCAAATACATGTAGCTGCATACAATAAACTCGAAATTCTAATCATGAATAATTTAATCCAGTGTTTTTTATCGACTACTGTTCTAGCATTACTTTATTTCCTTTCACAGGAACAATAACATTAAACTATGTTCGAGTTTAATACATGTATCAATAGCGATAGCATGCAGATTGGCGTTGTGTGTAACTTTATTCAAGCAATTTTGACTGTGTTGCTTGTTTAAGGGGGGGATCTTTAACTTATAACGATAACGGAGTAAATATTTTATTGACCGGAAAAATAAATGAATATAGCAGAGAATATTATAAAATCTGAGTCAAAATAACTTTCTTGTCTAAACAACCTTGTTAAGGAATAAATAAGCAAATGGCGACATTAAGCACTCAACAAGTAGCTAAAGTCACGTTTCAATATTTGGTGCAAAATATATCGGATGATATGTCACCAGTGTATAGTCCGATCTTTGCGACCTCGGACGATATGTTTTGGCAGTTACAATTCGGAAGGGTGATTATAAATCAATTGAAGTACATGTAATGTCAGACAGATTATGCTAGTCAATTTTTTAAAATGCGAAATGAAAATACACATCGCTATTTAGACGGAACCGAATAATCTCGCGATATATTTGAGTGCGATTCCAAATGAACAAGAGAAATTGGATGCGAATGCATGGGAGCTACGTAAGAAATACACGGCAAAATTGTTTTTGAAGAATTCGTTGACGAACAAGTTTATTGTGAAATTGGATTTCGGGGACATAAAATTTAATGCTTTTTCGACAACATGGGGTAAAAGAACAAGAATATTGTATAACTTTCTTGTCACATGTGCATTTCTAATTTTTTTTTCTTTATCTAATTAGGATTAAACATGTGCGAAAAATCAGAATTACGAAGTAATCAAGTGGTCGTTGGTGTTGAATTTGATAAACCACAAGATGACATTGTTTCTTTGGCCACAACCGTTACTAAAGAATCCAACCCTAAAGACCTTTACGATGCTTGGAATGCTCTATTAGATGATCCTTTGCATGGAGATGTGCAATTTTCGGTGCAAGGAAATATAATATATGCTAATAGTAAAATTCTTGCTATTCGGTCATCATACTTTAAGCAACTATTAGAACAAGATGTTGTCTCCGACTCGTCATCCGTATCAGAATCACAGTCCCCAATTTCATCAACTTCAGAACAAAAATTACCGGAGACACCTATTGGAACGCATTCAACAGAAACAGTCAACAAAAAGAACTCGTTACCAAAAGTAACAAAGCACGATTCAACGAAAAAAGAAAAAGCAAAGGAAGAAAAAGAGGTTGAAAAGAAAGCGGAAGGATCATCTAAAATCATCGAAGTTCAAGATTTTATGACGTCAACATTCAAAGAGATGCTACGATTCCTTTACACAAATAAAGTCGAATTTAGCAAACGGGCGAATGCACCCACTTCCCCGTTATCAATGTATCAGATCGCTGATAATTATCAGATAGATGATTTAAAACGTCGTGCCCGTCTCGCGTTATTTCAGCGACTCAATATCCAAACTGCTGCAACTTATTTGTTCGGTGCCGCATCACAATTTCCGGAATTGAAAGAATTTATTTTAGAATTCGTGTTATCGAATTTTGAGAAAGTGAGAGAATCGGAAGCTTTTAAGACCATAATTTCGGATCCGGCGAGCAATCCATTGTATGTTGAGATTGTGACGGAATTGTTTGGAAAGTTGGCGTCTCCAAAAGTAAAATAATTTATAGTTTGATTCTAACTTTAAATTTTTAAGAACTCATTCACGAATTTTAAATATCGCTGGATGAAATTCTTCTGTCCCTCCTCCCCTCCCCCCGTTTGTAAAAATATATGATAGCTCTTGTTCTCGTCCATGTACATGTATTATTTATGCAATATCTAAAGTTAATATTTAAATAACGATAAATTCAAAGTTCTGTTATTATTTGCTACGCATTGCCGACGAAAAGGAAATTGATTCAGCTGTCAAGAAAGATTGTCACGTCGAATAGGTAGGAACACCACCAAGATTTTTTTATATACATGAACATGTACATATGAACATGTACATATAAAGTTGATAGCAAAAAAAATTATAAATTTAAAAATAACGAAACGTCAAATGAAAGTATTAAATTCTTCATGGAAACTTTGAAGCATTTAAGCGGTTGATTTCATAAGCTTTTTATTTAAATAACTACAATAAACGTATACGTCTTGCGTTATTATTCTTTATTATTCCTTATAAGAGTCTATGCTAACTTGATTGTTGACATGATAAGTGTAAAAATTATAGTTACATGTATTTCTGGTTAAATAAAAATTTTTATTGATATAAGAACGAAAAGTCGCAATGAATAAAGTTACACACAACGCAAACGATATGCATGTTATTATTGATATTAACGTTAAACTGGAATTAGTAAAATGAGATAAAAATAGGAAATTCATATGTAACAATTTCAACATACTGGTACAGCCATTATGGTGATGCCATAATTTATTAATCATTTATATTTAAAATGGTGACAACAAGGTTTTCAGGATCTATATTATTAACTATACTAAGTATTCGGAGTATTAATCAAAAAACTTGTACAATCTCTTTCTTGAAATATTGGAACTTGTAGATTTATGACAACGTCTAAAATTTAATTGGCATCAGAAGTGCTATCATCCAAGTGTCTACCTTATTAAATTATTAAAAGAAATGTTTCAAGTAAAATAATTTTTCCAAATAAAGACTTGCTTTATTACTTTGTGTTCACTTTCCACCTTTAAGTCTACATTTTATCTTCGTGTGTTCCATGTTTACATTCACCTTCATATTTGCACTTTGTGTTTGCATTAACTTTATTCACTTTACCTTGTGTTTATTGTTTTAATATTAGTAAGAATTTAAAATGTCCTTTATTTTCGTGAAATAACGCTCATGGATATAATGTTTGAAAACCGTACCCTTTAAAAATAGCATTGTTTCGAAACAACGCCCACGGACGCCCTGAAATATGTTATACACCAATAAGGAACTTTGAATGTACATGTATATTCATATACATGAAGTTGACATAAATTAGTTTAGCGTTAGTATCTCGATGTGTTCATGCATCCATTTGAATTATGTTCTTTATTTAGTGCAATTTTCGCACAGTCAATTCTTTCTAAATGCAAATTGTTGGGACCTTTAATTAACACGCATTAGCGTTAGAGTGAAAAGATTACATTTATACACGTAGAAAGTATAATAATAGAGTTTTATAAGCATTGAGAGAGTGCGTATACTTTTTGCACCATACATACTAGTTCCAGTACAGTTACTAATTTTAGCAGTACATGTACATACATGTGCATTTGTTCAATTTCAATTCTGCATTTTGAAACCAATACGTAGTTAGTGGGTTTTCTTGATTTCTGTCACGCACAATTTTCTCATGTACAGTTTTGTTACCAACATCATATATTAATTTTAGCAGTACATTAATTAATATCGATATTTGATCAAAAATTAACAAAATTGATCAACTGTAAATATTACCAATTTAGAAAAAACTTGTCATAAAGTCAAGTTACTTTGGCTGAAGATTCTTTAAAAACTACAAGTACAAAATAAAATAATTAATAAGAGAAAGGTACTAAATTTTGTCTAGCTTAGCAAGTTTTAGCAACATATCTTGTGTCATAAGAATGCTAATATAGAAGCGAAGTTGGCTTTCAGCGATGATTTTCTATAGTAAACTAGAGCGTGTGAACGACTGTCGATCTCTTAATTAATACAAAAATTAAGGGACAAATTGATCAACCGATTTACTGACATTTTCAATTTTGCATGTGCTCTAATTCTTAACGTTAAAACCAAAAAATTCACATTTTTCCTTGTTTGCTCTTTTTTTTCGCCTAATCTAAATCTCTGCGCTATTATATATTAGTTCCCAGTACAAATATTTTCAACCTTCATGTGTTCTCGTTCGTTAAGTTATTTTGTCTCTGATGAGGTTTCGATAATTTGTTAACGCTAAGAGTTTCTTGTTAATTTTTCGTTTTATCACTTAATTTGTGAAGTATAAGATTTTGTTCTTAGAATCGTAAGATCGGACCATTCGTTTCTGACAAGGTGACGTTATTTTATATGTTTTCAAATGTCTACAATGAACATATTACATATATTAATGCTATTAAAAATTTTTGAATTTTAAATCATGCGAAAAAATTTATCAAACAAAATGTTGAAGTACATGTACATAGAAATTATCTTTGGAGGCAAGCAGTTATTTAAAGATTATGAGCCTTGAAAGAAGCCCACCAGAAATCAATTCCATCAACAAATCCAAGATGCTGCTGTTTCCAACCTAATAAATTTCGTACTTTGCTACTATCAACCACGTTTGATATTGCGCGGCCAATATCGATAGGATTTGCAGGGTCGGGTTCGACGAATGAGATCGCTTTGTTCGAATCACCTAATTAATTAAAAGAAAAAATTTAGAATAATAGCGAATTCGAATGATAGAAGTGTGTGCATAACAAAGTTTTGTTACTTTTATATCCAGTGACTCTTGCGACTGCTTCCAAACAATCTGAAATTGACTCGGATTGATTATTCGCCACAATAAAGATTTGCCCTTTAACAAGTTCAGCTCTTTCAGCAGCACGAACATAAGCATCAGCTGTAGAAAAATCATGAGTATAAAAATTCCATAAATCTTTTATTAAACTAAATATAATAATAAAGATATTTATTACCTAAATCATCGACATGAACAACAGCCCATCGAAGATCTCTTTTGCCGGGTGTCTTTAAATCTCCTTGTAAAGCAGCATTAAACCAAATCGCCGTCAGAGATCCACCTTTACCATAAAACGTACCAGGACGAAAGACAATTCCATTCACGTCTGTTGAGGAGATGATTTTTTTTTCGACGTCGATTCTCCAAGCGATATGTTTCGGCGGGTTATTCGGTAGTGAGCTTTCAGTCAAAACGTTCGAACCATTTTCACCATATACCTAGAAATTATTTTAGACGACTTATAGTATATGACATAAAAAATTATTAAATGAATACATTTACAAGTTTACCCACCCAAATACCCGACGTAAAAATGTATACAAGTTTTTGAGCGCCATTGCTAACACGTTTTCGTGAAGCAGATTCAACAGTCGATAGAATACGCTCTACATGTCCTACGGGATTCTGGTAATCAACTGTAGCATCAACAACGACATCAACTTTTTCGGCAACTGAAGACCATTTCGCGGGCTCGTTGATGTCAGCGACAACTACGATTACTAAATACATGTAATATCAAACTCATAAATTAATATTATCATCATTCCTATAATTGAATAGACCATTAAATTTTGTTTGATTAAAAATTCAGCGTACTCTCTTCCTTTTCTAATACTTTAGCTTTTACTTGACTGCGAACTAATCCATAAGTTTGATGGCCGGCACGTGCAAATGCAGTCGCGAGAGCATTACCAAGAAAGCCGGTCGCTCCAAGAACAAGTACTTTCACCATTATTAAAAACAAACAGTATAAACAGTATCGTTTTTATCTAGATTTGATTTCAAAAATTAGAATTTTCTCGAAAAAATTACTTTCGATTATTAATCAGCATGTGAATTTTATAACCTGTTCGAATATGTATGCAAATGTAACATCCGCTTGAACATCTAAATGAAATCCGCTTATTAAAAAGATTTACGCGTTTTACATATTGTTATTATTAATATTATATACGTCTTACATAATAGTTTTTTTACTAATTCTTCTATATCATAATCGTCATCTTCTTCATTTGTTTCTTCATTTTGATTAAATCTTGAAGTATCTACATATTCAACTACAATTAACGGCTCCAAATTAAAAGAATTTAAAATATTTAATATTTCATCTTCTTTATATTGAATAATTGATTCAGGTGAATTATAATTTGTGCTTCATCTTCTTCAATTGGCTTTTCATAACTTTCGGTTAAAGAATCTTCTACCATTTGAATAATTTCTTCTTTGGACATTTCTGATTGATAATAATGTAATTCATTCTTAATTTTGGTCATATAATATCGATATAATCTAGTTAATGATTCAATAATTTGAATTGATAAGCATGTTCTTCTTTTTCCATAAATCCAACTGACTGATGACCAAGTTCGTCCACAACTAGTTGCATGTGGTGTAACTGAAAATAATTTAATAGCCAGCGTTTGAAGTTGATTTCCAGATGCAAAACAAGTATTCCACCATTTTAATGGCCTATCATTGATAGGAATATATGGTGAATTGAATGGTGGTTCTTGTAGAATATAATTACACATTTGAGAGATTAATTCATTACATGAATTTTTGTTATATCACATTTTTTCAACAAAGAATTTCATGTAATTGATTATTAGAAATACCAGCACCTAAAATATAAATATATATAATAATTAAATATTATAAATAAATATTATAATATTTTACCTTTATATTGAGAATATAAAACATCATCAAATTTGGCAAATCTATAAAATAAATATATATTAATTAATTAATTTTATTAATAAAATCAAAATCAATAAATAAAATACTTACCATTTATTGAATTTTTTAATAGAATAATTTTTAAATATGCAATAATTTACTTGAGGTAAATTTTGTAATGCAATACCAATTCACAATAATTCAATAAAACAATCTGCTAAATTAGTATTATTTTTTTTATTACTTAATATAGCATGTTTGATTGGTATTAAAATACTAATAAAAACTTCAACATTATTAAAAAATCCAGATTTGTTAATAATAAGCTTAATAACATCATTACTTATTTGATCTTGATATTTTTCATATATCTAATATATAATTAATAAATAAATATAAGCATATGTATATGTGTATATATATATATATATATATATATATATATATATATATATTTTATATTAAATTTATCTCAAGAAGATAAGTTTAAAATGCAAAACAAAAGTTGCTATTGTAATTTATTTATCTTAGCTTAATTAAATAATTATCTAATATATAATACTTACTAATTATTTTTATTAATAATTACTTACTCTTCTTTTTTCTTGTAAAAGTATATATTATTTATTTCAAATAGAATATCAATTCTAGAAATTTTATTTCTAATAACTTGTCAAATAGTACTATTTTAAATTTTCTTATTTATTAATTAATATTATTATAAACTTTTTATTTCATATTTTTTATAGTTTATTATAAGAAATTAGCTAAAAAACTAGTAAGTATCAAAAATATTTTAGAATAATTTGTATTAATTTTTATTATTAATTATATATTAATATATATTATAATTATTAATATATATTGAAATAGATATTTGATATATATTAATATATATCAGAATTATTAATATATATTATTTAATAATATAGAATATTTAATTTTATTATATAATATAGATTATTAAATTAACTTATTTTATTAAATATTATTACTTAATAATTTTTATTATTAAATTCAAAATAGTAAAATAAAAATCTATTTAATAAATATATTATTTTATTATTAATTAAATATAATTCTTAGCTAATTAATTAATATTTTTGTTTTTACTATTAATTATAATTATTATAATTATTATAAATAAGTTATTTATTATATATATTTCTTATTAAATAGTATTATTATTTATATTATTATTATCTTTATTATTTTTAAGTTCTAATCTATTTTTTTTTCATCAAGTCTCTTATCTTTAATGATATTTATCAAGTTTTTACATATTAGATTTATATTTTTTTAATATTTTTTTTAAAAGAAAATTATATTAATTATAAAGAATTTGTAACCTTCTTGTTATGTATTATAATATATTCAGATAATTCATATAGAAAAACAAGATATAATATTATATCAAGAAAATTCACACAGAAGATTCAAGATATAAGCAATGTAATTAAAATAGAATTCATATAGAAAACTAAATCAAAAGCAAACAAGAGATTATATTTAAAACTTATTCTTTATTCATGTATTCATTACTTGTTATTAAAATTACAGAATAAATATAGTATCTTTAAATAATAAATTAATGTTACATAAAATTAATAATAAGATAAATAAATTAATAATAGAAAATACT